TTTATGTGGTGTTATGTGATTCCGGTGAAAAAGTGCTAAGCTTTCGTCCGTCATGTGACGAACATCATCAGAGCAAGGTGTCATCGTCGCAACCAAATTGAAGCTAACGAGTCAAGAAAACTCACCGGCAAATCCATAAAAAGTGGAATATATACTTTACATCTGATCATAACTAACCAAATAATTGTTTACCTCATCAAAGAGGCCAAATGTAGAGTATATATACCAATTTTTAGGGATTTTCCGTTGAGTTTTCTTGACTCGTTAGCTCCAATTCGGTTGTGACGATGATGATGTTGGTCACATGACGGACGAAAGGTTAGCACCTTTTCACCGGAATCGAAGGAGATCAATTTGGAAACATCGTCAGCATGAATCTTGCAGTAAAGCCAATCGACAGCTGGTCAAGAGGAATCTGTTGCTGATCGTCTTCTGGTGGAAGCGACCTTCGAATCTCTTCACGGCACACTTTCACTCGAAATGGAAGTCAGCTCAACAATTGACGAAAATGGTCCGGTGATGGTGACACGTGAGTGCGGTTGTACGGAAAAGGGTCATTCCCGCTCTGCAGAACGCGTCGAACACTTCTTCGAGTGAGCAGTTTGGCTCTTTTGAAGAGGGGCTGGACGAGCATTTCTGACGGTTGGTGGTTGCATGTGGCAGCCAACCGGAAGTCTGCTGCCCGCTTCGACTTGCAGAAGAGTGACGCCAGCAACGCGACCGTCCCAGTCTCCTTCCACTTTCGACGACAAGGCGACTTTTACTCTGCTCCTCCGCGTCGAGACGAGAACGATCTTCGGCCAGAATCGAAACTAGCCAAATGGTATGTCATGATGCGTTGGTGGAACGCTTCAACTGGAGCTATACAATTCGTGATGAACTCGGCCCTACCGCTTTGCGTCGACGGCGTTATTGGATCATTCTTGCTGAGACCATTTCCGAAGCAATGAGAATGTAAATGGTATCATTCTTACAACCATATTCAGACCAAAGTATAGATACAGCATTTTGTGATGAACCAGTCACTTTTCCTGACTAGTTAGCTTGAATACGGTTGTAAGGATGATGCCATGTTCTGGCGATGCCTTCTATGCGACGGACGAAAGCTTTGCAAGTTTTCACCAAAATCCTCGGAAACAGTGTCAACAAGAAGGCTCCAGTAGAGTCGTCATCTGGTTGGATGGACCAAATACTTTCACTCCAAATGGAAGTGAGCTCACCAATTATGAAACAAAAGATTCCTCGAAGCCTAACTGTTCTTCGCACATTGTGCCGCCATGCCAAGCTTGTCTTTTGTCAGTAAAACTGACCGCACTACTTATATTCATGAGAAGTAGGTCTTCGAGGCTTACACTATTCTATATACGAAGAAAAGTTGGGTTTCGAGGAATCTCCTGTTTCATAATTGTTGGGATTACTTCCATTTCGA